CCTGTATCACTTAAGCGTATATTTTTCCTTTTCAAAATTGGATAAATATCAGGATCCTGTACACGTGGAATTGCACCACATATCTTCTTTTCGTCCAAAACTGAAACAGTGTTCTTGAAATTCGAACACTTTGTCAACTCAGTTTTCTTAAGTTTTTCTTTTCGTTGGCAGATTTTAATGAAACGAAGTATCCAGGCAAGCATTCTAAGAATCTTCGTATATTTCGAGAAATAAAGTAAATTGTCAGTGAAGTTAACTGATCCATGCTCCACATTACGATTATCATTTTTTCCTCTTCCGATCTAACCAAATTTTCATCAATGACTTGTTTTTCACTTAATGGCCAAAATTCTTGTGACTTCCATAACCATTCTGGACCTTCCCACCATTTGCTTTTCAATAAATTCTTAGCATCACAACCTCTTGAAGGCAAATCTACTGGGTTCATATGCCCTGGCACAAAATGGCAGTCATTCGGGTTTGTATTCTTTCTTATTTCTGTGACTTTGTTTCCTACAAACATATTCCAAGAACTCTCTGTTTTGATCCAAGTTAAAGCAACAGTTGAATCAGTCCAAAAACACACTGTATTGTCTTTCAATTCCAGTCCGTCTACGACTTGACCATATAATCTTGATAAGATCAAAGCTCCCAAGAGTTCTAATCTAGGAATTGTTCTAATCTCTTTGGTAGGTGCCACTCTTGACTTACTCGTTACTAACTTGACAAAAATCTTCTCGTTAAATTCAGAATGTAAGAAAATACGAGCAGCATAGGAAACTTCACTGGCATCACAGAAACAGTGTAGACTTATTCGGCAGTCTTCAAATGGATCTGAAACGAGTCTCCGTGGAATCTTACATTCTTTCAGTAAAGATAGTTCCTTGACCCAGGCTAAAAATCTATTTGATATATCTATTGGAAGTACGTCGTCCCAATTAATTTTCCTCTTCCAGATGTTTTGAAGCAATACTTTTGGTATCAATGAAACGGGACCCCAATAGGGTCAAATAATCTTTGGGCAGCCGATAACACAACTCTTTTAGTAATCCTCTTTTCTGGATTTTCAACCATACTGCCGCAAAAAAGTTCAGCAGTTTCAGTGTCCCAAGAGAGACCTACAATTGAAATGAATTTGTTATGTGTCTCTTCTACAATATTTTCAGAAGTAACTCAGCCTCGTAGTTCGAATTCTGCTGAAGATATCAGCTCCTTAGCTTCAGAAATAAATTTTTCTGCCTCTTCCTTAGTTTCTAAACTCGTAATACAGTTGTCTACATAAAAAGATTCTTTGAGTTGACAAGCTGTGTGCTCCTTTCATCCGAGCGTTCTCTAGATGGTAAGCTATAGTTGCTTCTAGTAAAATGGACTAGGAGAAGCACCAAATACCACTCTACAATGTCGGAGAGTGATTATTTCTTCTCGTCTGATAATCCTTCCACCACAGAAATTTAAAATACTCCCTATCCTCGGATTCAAACGATTGTAAAAATGCTTTTTTGGTGTCTGATGTTACGCCAATTGCTTTTTTCCGAAACTGCAATATCAATTTGGGTACCAATTCTAATAAATTTGGCCCCTTTTCTAAACAATTTTTCAAGGAATTTCCTTTGGAATCTTTCGTCGACGCATCGAAAACCGGACAAATTTTTGTTGTTGTTACACCAGTTTTTATCACAGGATGATGTGGTAGATAGTGTCCCTTTTTCTCGTCTTCATCTACAATTTCAATAATTCCATTCCGAACACACTCATTAAACACATTATCATATTCTCTTAACGTATGAGATTTTTGGTAGTTGACATTAACCGTTTAGTGGCTAATTCCTTATTCGTTTCTAATTCTGGACGTCCACTTTTCCATGGCAAACATACTTCATATCTTTTGTCTTCATTTCTTTTAATAGTTTTACGGAAAAAATCTACCGTTTCTTCATCGGTTACCTGCTTTGACTTTACTTCTGCAGGACATCTTATACCGATGACATCTAGGCTCCATAATTCCATCAAATCCAAATTATTAGCATATACAATACTCTCCAAAGATTTTGAGTAGTTTCTTTGTTTACCTTGAAGCGTCCATCCAAGTTTTGTTTTAATAGCTACCAAATTATTATCAATGGGCTCAATTCTCCCAGTCAATAATGCGCCATAGTGTTCTTGAAATTTGAACACAAGCTTTGTAATGTAATATTGTAGACATTATGGGACTCTTGTTTAGTTTCACTGCCCCCAAAAAGTCCATGACTCATCATTTCTTGATCTACAGGTTTCAATCCTAGTTTCTCCGCAATATCTTTTCGTATGAAAGATCTCTGAGCACCAGTATCAAATAATCCATGAACGATTCCGGACTTGTCACCATTGATGATTTTCACCAATACAGTTAACAATAACGTTGGAGATTTTTTTGGTGACAAAAGAACCTGTGCATCCGATTCAGATTGTTTGTCTTGTTTTGATTGATTTATATTTGGACACATAATGCTATGGTGCTATGCTATGATGCTTTTTTTTCTTGCATATAATACACTTTAAATAAGCTTTGGCAGATCTTAGAATTGTGTCCTGGTTTCAAACAGACGAAACAAGCTCTCTCTTTTTCTTCAATGTTTCCCTTTTCCGCCTCCAATGACATCTCGGCAGCCTTAAAAACATTCTGAGGTATTATGAAACGACTTATTACAAAATAAACAATGCTTTGTCCATTTTTCTCAGCTCTTTTCGCTTTTCATTAGATACAATACAAGCTGCAGTAGGGAAATTCTTCTTTCACTTTAAATTTTTCCCATGATCGAGCAAGCTTTCACTGGAAATTCAGAGCTGATTCTACTAAAGGATATAACATTGCTTCATATTTTTCAGACGTTACCCCTAAAGTCTCTAATGCTCGCAGCTGAGTCTCCAATTTATCATAAAGAATCCGCAAAGTAAAATTTTCGCCACTTTTCGCTTGCGTTAAAACTAGATTTAAAAGTTCACGAACATAAATTTGAATTAATAGTTCATCTTTAGCAAAACGAGATTTCAGCTGTTCTATAGCATTATAATAGTTTTCGCCAAATGGTGGAAAACTTGCAACTAAATCTCTAGCCGATGAACCTTCTTCAGTTGCTTGTAAAAGATACTGAAATTTATCATCTGCATCAATGCTATCATCATCATGAATCTTTTTAAATTGTCCCCAGAATCCTAGCCAGTTTTTAATATTACCATCAAAACGTTTCAATTCTAACTTAGGAAGACGGAAATTTCGCTTGGTTTCATTTACTACACTGGAAATATCGCCCTTTCTTTCAGTGGTTGATAACATTAAATCAACTTTCGTTTTCATAGCAACCCACTGATTTCGATAGCTTTCCGTTAAATCCATATCATTAGAAAATTCATATTCAATTCATTAAATTTTTCCAATTCTAGCCATTTTACTTTAACTTTTTCATCTAACTGAAATAATCTGTCAGCTTTATCATTAAATATATTAAATACAGATATCAAATCAATCTTACTTACTCTGCTTCATCTTTAGAACAGTGTCCACTTCTTTCAAAGAAGTTGTAAAATATCGCCGTAATTGTGTTCTTTCCCGTTTTAAATTCCATAGGCCTGTTCCACAGGACGCCAATATTTTAAAAGGATTCGAAAATAACTATGGATTTAATATGAAAAAACACTTTAATTGCAGATATTTCCAAAAAATTTAGAAGCAGTTATTCTTACAGAAACGATAGAACTTATTTTCAAAACATAAACTTAAAACAGAGTTGAGTAGTAGCTGGTCTTACTCAAACAAGCTTTTCTGTGTAGATTATTATAAAGAGTATTGATCAATAATTTTTTAAAAAGGAGATCTCATTCACAGAATCTTATAGATTTTGTGTTTTAGAAATTAAAACACTGGCACATAGCCAACTTCTAATGTTATTTGTATTAATTGAAAATGAAAAATATTTTTTTTAATGAATTTTTTATGATTACCTGATTATGATTCTAAAATAATAAAACTTATGAATGAAACATGAGAATATAAACAATGTATTTTTAGACTTTGAGAACTTATAAATTACTTAGGTTAAATTTCTTTCATATACCAAATGTAACAATGTTATAAATAAAATGGTAAATCTCAAAGGAGTATCTCTGAAAGGCATTTAAGGGGGAAAATAAACCTCAAATTATCATAATTTATATATTAACTGACCCCTTAATGCTAATTTAAAATGACATCAAATATTACAAATTTTGAAATTAAATACCTCAGTCAATTTTTGTTGTACAGGAGTCTAACATTTTGCATTTTATTTTTTGTAATAAGTGCAAAATTTTCCTAAATGTAAGTATGGAGACCAGAGGAACATGTGAAAAGTTAGATTTTATATTTTGTAAATTTTTTTTTTTTTTTTTAGTAATTAAAACAACAAATCGTAATCTTGCTACATTTAAAACTCGTTTCTAGTTGGAAGTATATGTCTGTGACTGATGGATGCAAAAATAAAGGCTGGGTAAGGACTTTTTTGAGTGCATTGTACATTACAGTCATATAACTATCTTGATTATCACTTTCTTTAAAGTGGTAGATCTGATTCTTTTTCTTGTTTTTTTTATTATAAAGTATATCAAGTCTGGTTTCTAATGACTGAATGAGCAGAGATATGTAATATTATTAGGATATGGCTGTGTAGACATATAGGATAATTTTCTTTAATTCAACCATGAGAAGTGTCTCTTAGAAAATTCTTCATAAAAGCATCCTTTTTGATCTAGACAATGATTGTGTGCTTTGTCATTGTAAATGTAATGCACTTAGATTTTTACCTCATGTTTTATGGGCATTGTATATATTTTAACCACATATAATATAGAACATTTTGACAATTAGAAATATATATTTTATTTCATAATGTATTTAATTAAAGTTGTATAATTAAAAATTTTTTTAATGTAAAAAGTGAAAAAAAATTTTATTTTTTTATCATTGTTTAATATAATTGTTTGTGTAGGGCTTTGAACTCTTGGATCCTTTTATACCCATTCAAACCAAACACTACACAGAAAAAGAAGCAGAGAGTGCCTTAGATTACTACACTAATAGACTCTGGATTCAGTCAGAGGAAGGTATTTGTCTTTTATTATTAGTATCTAATATGATGCAAAAGTGGATTTGATGCAAATCGTGGTTTATATTTATGCTAAATTTTTATACATTGGAGAACGAAAATGTTTATGTTAAATGTGTCTGGAGGATTATTAGTTTCTTTCTTTGAAACTTAAAACATTATTATGTTAATTTGCACATGTATTAATCAGAAGCAGAAGAAAAGCATACTACAAGCAAAGAAAAGGTAAATTGTTAGAGTATTATAATTTTCCATTATTTAGTGCTTGAGAAAGCAAGTTTTAAACCACTGTTATATATGTAACGAATGTAATCAAAGAAATAAGTAAACCTACAATAAGCAGCAGAAATCAGTAAAGTACTATAGTTTCAAAAATTAAAAACTTTCTTCTGCATCTGCAGGAGTGAAATTGGTGAAAAAGGGGAAATGTGAATGAATAAGAACAAGTAAAAATTTAAGAATGTTATAACTAAGTGATGGAAAATGTCCCCAGGGTCATCAGTTAACTGAAAAGTTAAGAGTTTGTTTCTTAGAATAAAAAGCTTCTAAGAAACACATTTTTTTAAAAGCTAAGAGCAGAAAGGAGTTAAGATCATTAACCGTAACCAGAGACTTTTATAGACTTTAAATATTTCCATGAAATCAAATTTACAAAACGAAGACAATTTCTAATAATATAAGTTGCGCTTTTTTTTTTTTTTTTTTTTTTTTTGAGGGGTGAGTAATCTTGTGCCAGCATGTTTGAAATCTATGTTGCCACCTATTTATGTAATGTAAATCTATGTTGCCATCAAGTAACCTAAAGAATATGGCCACTGGCAATTGCCTTGTTCTTCGGCTTGTAAAGTGTTTAGAACATTTTTCATCCAGTGCATCTACACCTCCTTTAGTCACATTGTAAAATATTATTTCCGGTTTCTCAGTTTCTAGGTCTTCTGATTTCAAATGATGCATTGAAGAAATGAGAATAACACTTTTTAATTTGTGAAGCACATATGAGATGAGAGTCATTCTATCTGTGAATGCATAAAGAGAAGATCCCTCACTTTTCATTTTATTTGGAAAACATTTACCTGATATTTCTCTCGTATTTTTTTCATAGTACTGATGTATGTCAAACCTCTAGAGTTACATTCTTGTACAAGTTCGACACTCAAGTAGTAATCAGAGTTGTTACGCTACCTGGAAAACCGAAAAAATCAGGAAATTCGAAAATTGACCAAAAAAGTCAGGGAATTTAAATATTTTAGTCAATATCTAGAAAAGTCAGGGAATTTCATACAGCGATCCCCCCCCCCAAAAGCGAGTTTTGCGCCGATGTTGGAAGTGATAACTTTCTTGGCAAATTATGTATCGCGTGAGCAACATTGATTGGCCAGCTGGCATAGAGCCAAATTTTGCAGCTCCAATCAGATTGTCTTTTAGAAAGGCAAAGCAAATTTCCGGCAACTTTGGTTTCCAGTAGCCTCGAGTATCGAGAGACTGGCATGTACGTATCCAGTGCATGTTAAACTAAGAAAAATACGTATTCCGTATAAAATAAAATCGGTTTAATCCCAATATAGGGTACCATGGAGGTTAGAATAGCCTCCATGTATTCTATTCTAACCTCCATGCACCGTATACATGGGATTTGGGGACATTATGATGAGCAGTAAACATGTCATTTTGGTGTTGGCGACAGGTTTCAAAATCGTGTTAGGCCGTAGCGTATACTAGCATTTTACCGCAAGATCTTTTTAACCCTTTTTTTAAATAGATGCGTTATTTGTCATTTTGCAGTAAAATTAAAAAAAAAAAAAAAAAAATAGTAATCATCACCTAGGCCCTTTAATACAACTATTCGCCAAAATATCGTAGATTATTCTATTCAATTTTTAATAATTACTTTATTTAATGTTATTCATAATCATTAATGTTGCTTCTCTTCCTCTAATGTTTATTATTAGTAAATAATACTTCAATTTCAGGAAATTTTCCTCTGGCATAATCCTGGAACTAATTCTAGCAGTATGATGACATACCATCATGAAATTTAATGCATGCATTTTTTGCTTATGTATGCTTCTAAATAAATATAAAATACCTGAATTTATTTAAAAATATCATTAACTAGATTTTTCTTTCGTTTAGCTGCAAATTGTCTGCCAAAAAAAAAAAAAAAAAAAAAAAAGGCATTTTTTAATCCAGATTGGGCAGATTCTAATCTCAATCTTTAGTGGAGAAAACAATTCCTATTATAGTTATAAATAGTAATGCGTTCGGGATATATAAGTCATTATATATATAAGTCATATGTAATTGGCAAATTTTTGTGTTTTCAAGTGGTACGATAATTAATTTACCTCTTAGCACAGCCAATGTGCATTATGCGGATAGACTGGAGTTTTCTTAAATCACACCTGGAAAACCTGGAAAAGTCAGGGAATTTCATTTTCCTGTTTGAGTGGCAACCCTGAGTAATAAAGCCATCTTTCCCTCATGCCAGAAAAAAGTAACGTAAATGCAGATGTAAGGTCTATATGAACCTGGCCCAATTAAAAAAAATATTTAAAAAACAACTAATGGATAGAGTTTAATAAAAATTCAGGATAGTTATATTTTATGTCAACTTGAAAATACTGAAAAGGAGAAGAATATCTATATAACTTATAAGCCGTTTCGCAGTCCTAAAATGTTAGCACAGTCATATAGGCCCCACCTCTGTGTTTAAGGGTTAAGTAAATTAGGTTTTCACAAGATTTACTATGTTTGTAAATGTGCTATGAAGCCATTATTTCTGTCGGTCATTAAAGAGTGTATACAGAACATCTTGGACAGAGGTTTCCAGAAACTTGTAAACAACTTTAAATATATCCTTCCTAGTTGCATTATCATGTAACAATACAATGTCCAGTAGCTCCTCAAAAACATAGAATTCTGCATGATGATCTCTAAGAAATATGAATAATTGAGCTACACCAATCATATACAGTAGTGGGGTATGCAAATAAAGGTTGATGCTCTTATTTTCAGGATTGTGCATGCACCTTCATAATTGTTGGAATCCCAATTTTTATTACTACATTATATATATATTTTTTTTATTTTGATGTGAATTAGAAGGCTTCAGAAAAATGAGTTGAGAGCCATGAAAGCTCTTTGCAAATTTAAAAACCTGAATGCACAATATGGTGCAAAAGTTCTGCAGTACCTTTTGAAAACATGTATTTTAAAAATATAATCATATTTTCAAAATTAAATTAAATTCCAGATGTAATAAATTGTGCACCATATTAAGAATAATTTTGTATAGAACTAAAACTTTTTTATGTTATGAATGAAAGAATGATGCTTAAAATGCACAGTTAATGAATAAAATTTTCGAAACTTCAATTTACCTAGAAATTTGGAAAAATTGGCACCAAAAGAGAAAACAAAAGAAAAGTATAAAATGAAATAATATTTATCTTTAAAAGGTAATTTTTGTTAATGCATAAGGGGCCCATAAGCTGTTCAGTTAACATTTTTGGGTGGTCTTTAAATCAGAGACTGAATGAAAGTGCCTAAAGACAACCCATGAGATCAAGAAGAAACCTTTCATTAATGAAAAACAAAGGCTTAAACATTGATAGATATCATCAGAATTATTTAGGATGAAATGCCAAAACAATGCGTTGAGATGCTAAATAAAAGAGCCACATTTATGCAATGCCCATCATAATGAAACGATTTAAACTATATTGTAACAAACAGCAAAAGTAAAGCATTCTACTGCAGTTAATGATACGGGGTTATATCTTGACATATAGAGAAGTGCAATTTCAAATTGTTGAAGGAAAAATGAATGGGGGTCAATATATTAATGTGCTTAGGGGAAAAATACTTCTTTCAACTATAAATTTATTTCAAAACAATGTTTACATCCTGCAAGTATCTTAATGTACCTTTTCATCAAGCAAGAACAATTCATAGATTGTTTTCTTTCAAATCAGTTTCAAAATTGCAATAACTTGCTAGACCTCTGTCCAACTGAAAATAATTTGATGATACTGAAACAGAAGGTTAGTTTTAAAGAAGCCAAGCAATTAAGTAAATTTAACTGAAAGTGTAACTTCATGCTGGTATTATCTAATACTAGCAGATGACCATGACAAACTTGTGAATAATATGCGAAAGTGATTAAAAACAAAGGCTTCACCTTTCAAGTAACTTGAAATATGTTTAAAATTCATAGATTAATGCAAAACATTTGATATTTTGTAATACCGTGGTATTATTTTATTTTGAATTAAAAAGTTATTTGTGTTTTGCAAGATTATTAAGAAAGGTTTTATTAATTAAGATACAATAACACGCTGAACAAATATTAATTTAGAACTCAAACAACAAAAATCAGTCTATACTTGCAATTTGAAATATAATGCTGATTTTTGTTGTTTGACTTCTAAATTAAAGGTTTTATTAGTTTTAGAGTACCTGCCCATTTTCTCATGCATAATATTTACAGTAATGTTGTTTTAAATATTAAAAATTGTTTGAATTCCTTATACGAAATTATTTTTAAATTGATGCCACATATATTAACATTTAAATTTAAGTTAGATTAAGTTAATTTAAATAAACTTTCAGCATGTAGTTAGATGCATTAAATTTATACTTTTAAAAGTGTTGCAGAACTTTCGCATCAAACTGTGTCTTGGTAAATGTTTTGTGTACATTCATATATCATCATTTGAAGTGTAAAGAATTAATTTGAGCGTATTTGCTGAAACGCTAATCACTATTGCTGCAGAGAGTATAGGACTTAGCAGAGGCTTTTAATATACATTGTTAGGTACAATAATACAAAATTTTTTTAAGAATTTTAAGTTTTGAAAATTGCAAAATATTTCAAATGTTGTTAGAAATAGGATGAATATTTTTTAAGGAAGGATCCTTTTACAGTAAAAAAAAAAAAAAAAAAAAAAAGGAATTGCTAAATATTTAAAATACTTTATTTTTTTACCCTTTGATTCTTCACTTCTTAGTGTACTTCTCTATATTCCTAGGGTAAATTCTAGATATATCCTAGGATTATAGGGAAACCAATTACATAACAAAGTTGGTTTCTTGTGAGATTGTCAGATGACTTATTGCCCTGTGTGGGTAAAACAACTACACTTAGGAGAAGGTTTAAAGGAAGCTTTTCATTAAAATCTTAAACTTAACAAATTATGTAAAATTTAAGTATTTAATGCTTAAAATTCATAAAGCAAATTGCTGTTAAGCTTTGGTTTAGGATTCTAAATATGTGAGTAATATGACTAGCAAAAGGCTAAAGCAGGCTTGAGTAATTCTGAGAGATGTCAATAGCTATCACAAAAAGTCACTATTATAAAAGCTCACTCTCTAACTTCCAAATCTCTTCTTATATACCTGTTAATTAGTTTGTGCCCTGATGGGAACCAATGAAAGTAGAAGTAACTTTACAGATAAAATACTGGATTAATTAATATAAAATCTTACAGATGAGAGTTAGCTTTTGTACATCTGTATCATAAAAGTACATCATCTAAGAAGATAACCATTCCTGAATTATTATTTTTACTTCTTCATTTGTTTCAAAATGCTTCTAGGCAAGGAATCTTTCAGATGCAGGAAAACATAATAGTCTCTTGGTAGCCAGTCTGGGTTGTTTTGAAAGGGATTCCACTTGCTGTCAGCCAAAAGATTCATTCAGAATTGCTTTTAAGTAGCAGTATGGAATGTATCATCATTTACCAAACAGACACTAAACACACTGTGAAACTTTTTTGTGCTGGCTAATGAATGTTTTTTAAAGCTTGATAGTATGCTGTAGTGTTTATTGTTTGCACTTTGTAACATGAAATCTATGAGCAGAGTATTACATTTGCCTCAAACACAGCTGCTGTAATCTTTTGAGATGAGACTGTTTGAAATATGTGTTACCACTGAAGAAACTGTTGCTTGGATTCATGTGTCACCCCATAAGAGTGCCGCTTAACAGTTCACCTTCCTGATAGTACTAAATCAGAAATGTCAAGGCTTTTGTTTATCTCTTCATTTTCTGTTTCTGAGTAAGCATCCTAAAAGTTCACTGAGAGCACGACTTTTAAACACTTGAGTTTTTCAAAACAGTTTCTTAAAGAATTGTCTGTGAAACTTGTGGACAGTTCTCTGATAATGGGGAAATTCTCAAGGATCTGTTTTGTGAATCATGCTATCTTCCACAAGCAAAAATAGTCAACAGTTATAAATGACCAGTCTGACTAAGCATGGTTTATTGTGTGTAATCGTCTTGCTTTCTTTAAACAATTCATCTGTTTATGAACTCTGGTGTAACTCATGATTTTCAGACTAGATGCTTCATACACCATGTGACGAATCTCTATGTTGTATTCCTCTGTGTGTATGTATTTCAAATGGGAAGAAGGAAAAAAGAATCTTGTAAGGCAATTTGCTCTATCTTTTTAAATACTTCCTTTGCATAATGTAAAATATGCACATTATTAACATGACTTGTAAAATGGTGTCTGCTTATGGATGTCAGGAGATACTGTGTAAATACAAAATTATGAACAGGTGTGCTTTAAAATGATACAGTATAGCAGTAAACAACTTTCGAAGGACTTTCCGATAAAGAGTAATAAATAAGAAAGCCATATAATGAGAATTTTAGTTTAAGATGTAGTATGTGTATTGTAACCAAAGAATTTTAATGATAGTTCTAGACTAGAGCAATTATGAAAGTTTAATTTGATCATCTTATTTTTAGTTTATTTAAAATATTATTTATTATTTAATTTTTTAAAGTGGAAGAACTGAAAATGGTTATATATATAATAAATATATTGAGTAGCAGGAATTTAGATAGCGAAGGCAGATTTAAATCTTCATTTTTATTTTCAGCAACATGTTGCAGCTACACACAAGTTGGCACATTAAATGTGCCTGTTCCAAAAGGCTTACATTTTTGATAATTTTGTTGCAAGAAAGCAGAGCAGACAGACAGCAGTGTAGATAGGCCAAAGCATGGAAAGCAAGTGCATAATGTTCAGGATGAAATCTTAAGTCAGACTGAGTTAGTTTTGGTTCTCAAAGCAATCTAATTGGATGGTTAATATTGCTGGAAAATTATTATTGGCTGTTAATTTTAGTCAGTTTACATCACAGAATTACGTAAGAGTCATGACATAGATTTTTCTTAAAAGGACGCAGTGCAAGAGAGGGTCTACTATTTTTAGAATGGAGAATAATTTACGCTGCTACTTTAATCTGTTACATATTCTTTCTTTTCTACATATATATATATATATATATATGTACCATTATTCAGTTGCCCATTTTTGAAAAATTATTCTTTTTCCAAAATGATTTTAACATTGATTCCGATTTTAAAATTTTTTAATAAAAAAAGTAATCAAAGTGTTATTTGGCTAGCCATTTGATTTTAAACTTTCAGCAAAAACTAAGTTCTTGAAAGGTTTTATCATTAGTTCTTGTGACAAAGACATTTGAGTTTGTCTTTCCTTCTTGCAAAGAAAATGGGATTCATTCTTCATTTTCTTTGCCATCCTACTCCAGTTATATGTTTTAATCAGTTTTTCAAATATTTCAATCCTTGTGACAGTCTGAGGTATCCCATGGCTTTGGTATTTCTCTATCCTCATATACAACTTATGGATATTATAGGAAGCAAGAAATAACTTTAAAAGAAATTGCTCTGAAAATAGAGGGGAAAAAAAGACATTGATGAATAAGTGAAGTGAAAATTGTGCATTAGCATTAGTAGGAATAAATCAGAACAGAAATCAGAAGGTGAAATTATGTAAAAAAAAAAAAAAAATGTAAAAGATGTATAATGAGTGCTTTACTATATTGCTAAATGACTTTTGCTTCAAAATGTACTGTCTGTGTTAAAATAAGTAAAAGTTGAGGTTTAATGGTTATCCAAGACATTCTAATCTTGAATATGGAATGTGTTATTTTCATTACATTTGAGTGCACAGAATTTCATGAATAAATTTTGCTTTTCAAAATATGGTATAAAGATAATTGAATCAAAATGGAACATTGCTGTAATTAAAGACTGGTGCATGTTGTTAAAATTAATGTTTAATTATAAAGTGTTTTAAATGAATAAATCATGTTTTTTTTATGCAGTTATCTATAAATGTGAACTTCAAAACATCACTGATACATGTTAAAAGAGCAACTATGTAACCTCAAAAATTTATCATGCATTTGAACTAGAATTTATTTTTGTAAAATTGCTTATGGGTGTATACTCCTGTTCTTTCAGGATTTTTAGAGACTTCATTTAGGTACTTTTGCACTGTTTAAAAACACACTCATTGCATGATATTAGTTATTTGAATGTGTAGTAGTACTGAAGTTGTTCTCTGTTTCTAACCCATGTCTGTTCTGAGCACCTAAAATAATAAGTAAATAAATAAAATTTTAGTTAAGTGTATTAAGTTAATTTACTAAGGGAATGTTAAAAAATTGCCTTAATTTGCTGATTAAAAACATATCTCACAGATCTGTTTATAAATATGTAAGTACATTTAAAAATATAGGTTCATTGTCTTGATAGAATTTACATGAACAAGTGACTAAGTTGAACATCCACAAAAATGAAAAATTAAAATTTTTGGCTATTGAACATTAAAAGCTAGCAAACATTCATCAACGGATGAAAAGACATAGGAGAAGGTTACTATTTCAGTAGATTTATGAGTAGACCCTTCAAGAGGGAAATTATTGGCAAAAGTAATTCATTACAGATATTAAAATAAAAATGGTAATGTATCAGAAGCTACATAGTTGTTTGAAGAATCCAAGTTCCATTAAAATGCTGATATATGGGCACTAAATATGTTAAAAAATATTAAATTTTTCATTTCTGTTTGTTTTAAGTAAATGCTGTTAGTAAAAATTTTAATGATATTTTTTTTTACTCTTCCTGGTATGTTTTAACCATTTAATCTTTAATACCAAAGGGGAAAAAGTATTTATATTAGTTAATATTCCCTTCCTTTAATTGAAATTATTTACAGCAAAATGTTCATTGTATTCTGCTACCTGGAATATTTAATAATGATTTATTATTTTTTTCTTTATTTATCTGTAGCTCGAAGTGAGGATGGGAGGAAGCAATTGAAGTTCCTGAGTGGTTATAATCCTTTAATTTTGATGAAAATCTGTGATCCAATTTAATCATATCATGTAAATTAACTTATGTAAATAGATTTTATGCCCATTAAAATTAGTTCTGATTACTTTTTGTAAATCACTGCAGCTGGCGGTCCTTAATGTCATTGTGAAATTATCTTACTTGTATTTTCAGGTACATTAAATAGAGAATTAATTTTAGGTACTAGACTGCTATATTAAGGGTATAGGCATAATATGTGATTGCTGTATAGAAATATAGGCATAATATGTAATTGCTAATATGTGTCTAATGATTGGTATAGATTTTATAGGCAGAGATTAATACAATAGAATTCTGATGATTCTATCAATGTCTGCAATACTTTCTCATTTTTAGATATAAAAAAATAAAATTCCTTTTTTTAGAAAATGTTGCTTCATTAACTTACAAGCAACTTTTATATAAATATGCAAATAAAAATAATAATAATTTATGATTAACAACCTATTTTGAATATTAAAAGTTTTTTTTTCTCCCATTTGAAGTTTTTAGCAGTTTTTCCACATGCATTAGCATTCTCTTTTTAATATAAACATGGATCGTGAATCTCTGCAAATTTAGTTAATTGCATTTATATGGTTAACTTGGATAAATAATTTATGGTATTTTTTAATTGTTTGCACCCCTATGAAAAAATTACCAAAAATTTGTTACAAACATTCGTTTGGTTACCCGTTCAGCTCGTAAATAATTTTTTATTCATAATTAGTAATAAAAAGAAGTATTTTATAAGAAACAAGAAATTTTAGGGAAAAAATTCTGTATGGCCAATATTTACAATCTTTACAGTCAGTGGTACTGTAGCAAAATGATAGTTAAATATAAAGCATGTAAAATGTGTATTCAAATACATGTGTAATATGTGTGTATATAAGTTGGCGCTTTTCACTTGCTTACCCGAAAACATCTCAGTTCTACCAAATGTTGAAAATGTAAGTGAAGATAATCAGGAAGAACAAAATTATTTATCCACAGCTTTTCGTATATTGAGTTCCATGTAACTGCTAACATTTTTATTTATGTTTTGTACACTTAGATACTTAAAAATAGCATTTGTACTGTTTTTTATTATATTGAAATGAAAAATCTGGTAACAAAGGTCCAAAGAATATTCAAATTTTCTTTTAATAAATTCAAAATTACAGTTTGAAATATTTTTCCAAGCTATGAGCAGTATTATTAATCTAATTACACATGCACAGACATATTGGTGGATTTATTGTATGGATTCAATTTGGGGAAAAAGATTCTGCTAGGATTTTTGTGAACAACATGCTTATTTATCTATTTTTTCTCTTGTTAAAGAGTTTAAAAATTACTAGAAAACTAATTTCGATGATGGATATGCACTTTTTTAATACAAAATGCATCAGTGTGTTTTTTCAAAACTTCTTCGTTTAAAAATATTTCCCTGTTATTTGTCTCACTTTCTCCTCTCTGTATTATTTCGCATTTATATGGAAATTATTTATTTTCAATATAAGTTCATTAAAAAATATAATAGTTTTGTATTTATTAAATCTTAATTAAATAATTCATAAGGTATAAGTGTTTTTTTAGTTAGACTTTTTATACAGACACTTCAAATTTAATACATTAAAATGTAAAACGTTTGTAAACTTAGGGGGAAAAATACCAGTTATCATTGTTCCTTCTAATTTTTGACTACTGATGTGCAACTTTATTTTGATTTGTGCAACTTCTTTTTACTACAAGAATTGTTTTTGTGGCTTTTAACTTTTATATTTAAGTTAATTCTATTTTAATAACATTCATTATTTTTAAAAACACATATATTAAAAAAAAACTATACATTAATTATGAAATTAATATGTAAACATAACAAAGCATAAGAAAATTATTTACATCTACATGTAAACATAACAAAATTATTTACTAAAATATCACTTAAGTGTAAGAGTTTTATCAAAAGTAAATAAATAAAAATCAATTCTACATTAATA